AGAAATCAAAACGGAATTTGTCAACTCCAATGATCAACTCGCGGATGTCTTCACTAAAGCTCTTAGGGGTCCTCGGGTTGAATATATTTGTGGCAAGCTGGGTGCTTACAATATATATGCTCCAGCTTGAGGGGGAGTGTTAGAATAGTTGTAAAAATAGTTCAGTATATATATAGTCTCACATCGTATGAGCTCAACCTATTAGGTCTTTTAGTCTCTTTAAATAGAGAGCTCTTGTACATTGTAAAACACCATGTGATTATTCAATATACAATTATTCTTTAATCTCAAGTATACCAATGACACTCAGCGACTCTATAGGGTTTGTCAAAATTTGATCACTACTATTGCTGCTCAACAACTTGATGTCTCTATGTCTGCTTATTTGGGAAAAGTTCAGGGCCTCCTTCATGATTTCAATGAACTGTTGTCGCCTGCTGCAGATCCTGCTAAAGAACTTGAGCAACGCAGCACGTTCTTCATGCTCATGGCTCTTTATGGTTTGCCCCCGGCATATTCTGTCAACCGGGATCAGATCTTGGGCTCTACTACTGTTCCATCGCTGGACTCTGTTTGGTCTACGTTGCTTCGCATTCCACCTAAGACTTCTATGGAGCCTGCAGTATCTGCTCCCTCTTCAATTGACCCATCTGCCCTTGTCTCCAAGGGTTTTGCACGTGGACGCAAACCCTCTACGAGACGCTTTCTCTGCACTCATTGCAAAAAGTCGGGCCATACTATTGATCGTTGCTGGGATCTTCACGGTCACCCTCCTCGCTCCGCTCATTTTGCTCAGACTACTGTTCCTGCCTCGGACTCTGCCTTGATTGCTGGATCACAGCCACCTCCTGGTACCACTGCCTCTAGTGTACACACGGGTAATTCCTTTGCTGGTGTTTCTCACTCGCCCTCTCTTGGTCCATGGATTCTCGATTCTGGTGCATCTGACCATATTTCTGGTAATAAGTCTTTATTTACCTCTCTCTGTACGTCTGGTCCCCTGCCCAGTATCACTATGGCTAATGGGTCACTGGTTCAGTCCCAAGGGATTGGCACTGTTCTCCTTTTTCCTTCTATTCCCATTGAGGATGTGCTTTATGTTCCTCATTCTCCTTTCAACCTTATTTCCATTAGTCGCTTGACTCAGTCCCTTGACTGTATTATTTCTTTCACTAAAGAGTCTGTCATTTTGCAGGATCGGAGCTCGAGGAGGACACTTGGCGTCGGATCTGAGTCCAATGGCCTTTATCAGCTTTCAACTTCAACTTCTGTTCCAGTGTGCTCTGTTGTGGATTCTCCGCTTACTATCCACGCTCAGTTGGGTCATCCAAATCTTGCTAAGCTCCAGAAGATGGTCCCACGTTTCTCAAATTTATCTAGTTTGTCTTGTAAGTCGTGTCAGTTAGGGAAGCACACTCGTAGTTCGTTTCACGATCGTGTCAGTCGTCGGTCTTCGTCTCCTTTTGCTTTAGTTCATTCAGATATTTGGAGTCCTAGTCGTACCGTTTCCACTATGGGGTACAGATATTTTGTAACTTTCATTGATGATTATTCTCGATGTACTTGGTTATTTTTAATGAAAAATCGGTCTGAATTGTTTTCTATTTTTAACAAGTTCTTTAATGAAATCCTTACTCAATTTGGTGTTTCGATTCGCATTTTTCGAAGTGACAATGCTCGTGAATATTTGTCTCATCAGTTTCAAACCTTCTTTGCATCTCATGGCATCCTTCACCAGACATCATGTTCACACACCCCTCAACAGAATGGGGTTGCTGAACGCAAGAACCGTCACCTAATTGAGACTACTCGGACACTTTTGTTACATGGTCACATCCTATTCCAGTATTGGGGCGATGCTGTCCTCACAGCTTGTTATCTCATTAATCGGATGCATTCCTCCGTACTTCATAATCAGGTACCACATTCTGTGTTGTTTCCCCATCAACCTTTGTACCCACTCACTCCTCACATCTTTGGTTCTACTTGTTTTGTCCACAATCTCAGTCCTGGTCTTGACAAGTTATCTGCTAAGTCACATAAATGTATTTTCTTGGGTTACCCTCGCTCACAAAAGGGTTATCGTTGTTATTCTCCAAGTCTTCGTCGTTACTTTGTCTCGGCGGATGTTACATTCTTTGAGTCTATTCCATTCTTTGACTCCTCCTCCCATCCCAGTGATTCTGTTGCTACTCAGCTACCTTTACCACCTGTTTCAGTTCACTATATACCTTCACCATCTCCTTCTTTAGATGTCCCCGTCCCTGTTCCCCCCTCCAGGTCTATCATCGTCGGCAACGTCCCCCTGTTCCCCAGGACCCTGCCCTCCCCACCCGAGTCTGCCCCTATTGTTACTGAGACTGAGGCTCCTGTGGACTCACTTCCGTCATCATCTCCTCTGTCAGCTCTGATTCTTCCGTCTGACATTGATGTGCCCATTGCACTCCGGAAAGGTACTCGTGATTCTCGTCCCCCTCCCAGGTATTTAATAAATTTGAGTTATCATCGTCTTTCACCATCCTATTTTGCTTGCCTCTCTTCTCTTTCTTCTGTATCTGTTCCTAAGACTACAGGTGAGGCGTTATCACATTCTGGTTGGCGACAGGCCATGATTGGTGAGATGAGTGCACTTCAGAGTAGTGGTACCTGGGATCTGGTTCCCCTTCCCTCTGGGAAGTCTGTTGTTGGCTGTTGATGGATATACACAGTTAAAGTTGGTCCGGATGGTCAAGTGGACCGTCTTAAGGCCCGCTAGGTGGCTAAAGGTTATACTCAGATATTTGGCCTTGACTATGGTGACACATTTTCTCCCGTGGCGAAAATGACTTCTGTTCGCCTCTTTATTACTATGGCAGACATTCATCACTGGCCTATGTAGACATAAAGAATGCTTTCCTCCATGGTGATCTGCGGGAAGAGGTTTATATGGAGCAACCTCCTGGTTTTGTTGCTCAGGGGGAGTCTAACCTAGTTTGTCGTCTCCGAAGATCCTTGTATGGTCTAAAGCAGTCTCCCCAGGCTTGGTTTGGAAGGTTTAGCACTGTTGTACAGCAGTTTGGCATGACTCGAAGTGAGGCTGATCCCTCAGTCTTTTACAGACACTCTGATTCAGGTTCTATTTATTTGGTAGTATATGTTGATGATATCGTCATTACAGGTAATGATACTCATGGCATAACTCAGATAAAACAACATTTGTGCCATCATTTTCAAACAAAGGACCTTGGAAGACTCCGATATTTCTTAGGGATAGAAGTGGCCCAATCCAAAGATGGCATTGTACTATCACAGAGAAAATATGCTATGGATATTCTTGAGGAAACAGCATTGTTAAATGCTAAGCCCGTTGATACTCCTATGGATCCAAATGTCAAGCTTTTACCAAATCAGGGGGAGCTATTTTCTGATCCAGAAAGGTATAGAAGATTGATTGGGAAACTGAACTATCTCACAGTTACTCGACCAGACATTTCCTTTGCAGTCAGTGTAGTAAGTCAGTTCTTGAATTCTCCCTGTGAAGATCACTGGAATGCAGTAATTCGTATCCTCAAGTACATCAAGACTGCTCCTGGCAAAGGTCTTCTCTATGAAAACAAAGGTCATACCAGAGTTGTAGGATACTCAGATGCTGATTGGGCAGGTTCTCCTATTGATAGAAGATCCACTTCTGGGTATTATGTATTCGTTGGAGATAACTTGATTTCCTGGAGAAGTAAGAAGCAAAGTGTAGTTGCTAGATCAAGTGCTGAAGCAGAATATCGCTCCATGGCCACAGCTACTTGTGAACTCATCTGGTTAAAACAGCTACTGAAGGAACTCAAGTTTGGAGACACTGGTCCAACATCTCTCATTTGTGATAATCAAGTTGCTTTGCATATTGCTTCAAATCCAGTGTTTCATGAAAGGACTAAGCACATTGAGATAGATTGTCATTTCCTTAAGGAAAAGGTTCTCTCAGGAAATATAGTCACTCGTTTTGTCAACTCAAATGATCAATTAGCTGATGTATTTACTACGTCTTTGAGAGGACCTAGGATAGACCAGATATGTAACAAGTTTGGTGCATACGATCTATATGCTCCAGCTTGAGGGGGAGTGTTGCTGTACATAGTATAGAAGTCCCACATTGATTGTGTCTCTTTGTATTCTTCAATTGGTTTGCTATATAATAGCACCAATGTTGTGTAGTTTAATATAACAAGGATTACAATGAATACCTCTTGTCTTTTGGTAATTAAGAGCTTTCAATAGGAACTTTGGAAGACTTAAAACTATGCAACACAATTAAACACAGATATTTTATAGGCAGTAAGACATTTTACATGAACTTAAATGAGCTTCTTACTAAAAATTGGATGAGACTATAAATTTATGCAAAAGTGCATAACCACAAACGGCTAGATTAAAACAAATGATTATGGGAAACATGATGTAAAGGATTAGATTAAACAGGAGTACAGGAACAATGACTAAATATATCATTTATCTATTACCATCTTGCTTTTGTGCAACAGTTCAAACATACAAAAATTGTAAGTTCTGAAGTCATAAAATTACGGTAATCAATTCAAGTTTCTCATTTTTTGAAAAATAAAAACAAAAGGCCTTCCTGGCATGCCTAGTCTTCCCCTTGCCTCTTTTGCATGCAAGTTGAGCTGTTTCACAACACTTGAACCAGAAAAAAAGATTGATTAAATAAATTACAGACTTCAATACTAGTTTGTTAACCATAGTTACCATCTAACTACAACCCCAGTACCCCACTAAGATTAATCCTTATAATAAACCAAAACAAGGGAGAAAGCTATCCACAATCACTTAAAAGATTGATAATTTTAGCTTGACCAAATAGATCAAGCTTGTAAGGTATAAATAAATGAGGTTATCATCCTAAGTGAAGAGCAACCGCAGAGAGCCATTCTTTGGAGCAATAGATATAAGCATCTCCAGCAGTGAGCACGGGTTTACAAGTCAGCCTGAGTCATTCTTTAAATTGTCACTCATTTACAATTTTCCTGATCAAGAGACCCCCTGGCGGTTTTTCTCTGTAGGCATAATATAGGACGAGTTAGGATTGTTGGATCTGTAAAGATAATTTACATGAACAAAGAAATAATTGAAAAAATAAATTTACCAGGGCTTATAACTGTAATGCTTTTTGTGACAGATTTCATTGCAGTCAGACAATCAGTGCCTGCAAAAATGAAAGCTACTCAGTAAATTATAATTAAGCAAACAAAACTAAGACACAAAAATGAATTTCATTACCTAGCATGTTCATGTCTTTCTCACATAGAACTTCTGCCACAGTTGATAACTCGGGCACAGCATGATTACCGCTGCATTCGTGAGATGACATGTTAGATAATGGAAAAGAATTTCAGATAGAAGAGTTGAATTAATTATAAAGAAGGTCTTGCAGGATTAAAAAGAAACAATACCCCAAAGCATTATCCTTAGAAGGACTTGGTGTTGAATCGCAAGAAAAATCAATGCCTCCACAAGGAAGGTCTAGTTCGTTTAACATTTCAGTGAAGGAGAAGTCCAATCCCAAGGCATCAAAATTAGGAAAATCAATGTCAAATATGTCCAAGTCCTTTTCAGACTCAGACGGAGAAATCACATTGGTCAATGGATTGTCCAAGCTCTCAGGCATATCAGAGGCATCAAAGTCCAACCTGCTTCTAACATGATCCCTCTTATTTACCTTGTCTGAATCTATCTTCACAGGTGAAATGCAATGACTCATTTGTATGTAAGCCATCTGTTTTGCAGGGCTAACCATAACTCTCTTGGTTGAAATTACAGTGCAACGAGTTGGTGTAACCTCACGATTGCAAGTTGCAACTGAAGAAATCTCAGAAGGGGATATATGTGTATCACTATGAGCAGAATTTGTTCTAGGAGGTGTCTTTGGAACTGGTGAATTACTTGGAACAGAAACTGAAGACTGGTTAAATAAGCATTTAGCAACATTGGATCCCTGAACCTGTGACCCACTGGGTATGCAGTTCTCTGGTGAAGATCGAATTGCAGAAGAGGGCTGAACTATCATTGCATTATTGACAGAATTAACAGATTGTTGCAGTGTATTTTGACCTGCCAATGTAGAAAAAGCAAAATGGATGTGATGATTTCATGAGATTAGCATATACATACAAGATGCACGAGTTAGGAGATAACCAAACCTTGGACGGGAATTTTCCTACTGGATGATCTACCACGAGATTTTTTGGCATCTGAAGGAGCATCCACAGCTTTAGTATCCTTTCTCTTTCTGTCAGATGCATTCATCATTGGGGTTGAGAAATTTCCACCCTCGGCATTTGAATTGCGAGACTGAGGCAGCGACTGTATAGTCAATTTGTTTTGCATAGTAGGAAGGCCTAATACGAAAACAATGAAGATCATAATCAAGCAAGTGAAAAAGGGTGTACTTGGTTAAGCAAGTGAAAAAGGGCAGGTATAAAATAGAGGACAGATTAAAAGGGATTTTCAATCAAAAGTGAATATAAAGTACATTTTATTTTACATTTCATATTTTTGGCTGTGCCACACAAGTGCAAACTAATTTTCATTCCAATTTTTCAACCGTCTGACTTCCCAACAAGGACAAATTACACTTCAATTGCAGCTCCAGAACTAACCCTGAAGGCAATTGATAATCATTCTTGACAACATACTATGGATTATGCTTTATTTCTAGCTAACACATGGCAAAGATAAGACCAAAATAATATAATGACTAAATAAACATGATTTCTGAATACATTATACAACGTAGCCAAGTCAGTCAGAGTTATACAGTCTCCTTGATCGTAGATAATATACAGTAGTGTTTGGTATACAAGTTAGAACAAGACAAAACATAACATATAAGTTCGTCCATTAAAAGTGATGAAACCAAGAAAAACAAAGCAGAACAGTTCCATTCCATTCTATTAAGTCCTGTCCCCGCGCCACACACTGTCATATAAGTCACCATTACTCTTCAGAACCAAAATCTGTTAAGAAACCCCAAATAAACCCTCTAACTAACGAGGGTATTCTTTAACTTTCGATTAATAATTCAGAAATGAAAACACCAAATTAACGTGCCTAGCATACAAATATTATTCGTTGTCTTTATTTGTTTCATGTTTATGACATAATATGCTGAAATGAAATAAATTAAAACTAATTATCACCGGGATTTGAGTATTGATTAATCAGTAAACTTGTAAATTTCTGCATCAGATAACTAGTAAATTTATCCCAGAAGAATAATAATCAAACACACTACCTGCATATATATTAAGAAAAATGAACTTGGGTGGGAGCAAAGGATTGTACCTGGATGAGATTTGTTACTAAATGCTGGTTGAGGAACCACCGCAACCGCAGATTTTGCAGCAGGTGCGGCTAGGTTTCCACTAGCATTGTAAGCAGTCATGACATTCTGCATGCCTTGTAACAGCATCTGAACCCGGTTTTTCTCTTGTTCTACAAGGACCCTTTCCTTATCTAACATCACCTTCTGCTCCTTCAAGCAGATATACTCGTCCAGCATCTCACCCAAAGTCAACAAGGTCTTGGGTGCCTGAAAAAAAAAAATAACAAATTTTCCTTAAAAAAACATAGACCCATGTGCACCAAAGGTTGGGAAATGAGTATCTAAAATTCCCAACTTTAATATCAAAAATGAAGACCCAGATGATCAAATATGCATAAAAACGGAGAAAAACAAAAGGGGTGGTAGAAGATGGGAAAATGGTGTCTAAAAAACCTAACTTCACAAATGAAAACGAAGACCCAGAAGCACAAATATGAAATAAAAGGGAGAAAAACAAAAGGGAAAATGTGTGCAGGTATACCTCTTGAATGGGTGAATTGGCGATTAGGGAAGAAGCTTCGTTTCTGAAGATGGATCGAGTAGAGGAGAAGTTGTTGTCGCAGAGGTACCTGTCGACGATGAATGCGATCTGTGTAGGGGTGACTTTTCCCTTCCCGAAAACCTCTGGTTTTCTGGCTTTGGATTGCTTTCCCGCCATCCCTTGCAATCAACCAAGACTCAGATCGGAGAGAGAGAGAGAGAGAGAGAGAGAGAGAGAGAGAAAGAGATGTATTGGCACTGCGTTAAAAATGTATTGGCACTGCGTTAAAAAGTAGTGCCAAAGGACGCGGGAGTTTTTTGAACTCGTGAAATCCTGTTCCTAATTCTTGGTCTTTTGGCGGCAAACATCTTATTCCTCAATCCAGGTTAATAAAAAAATTTATTACTATAACTATTCTTATTATATATTTTAAAAGTGTTTTATATTTGGGGTTATACTTACTACTTTTTTTCTTACTACTTCTTATTACTAAATCTTAACCGTTGATTTCCGTCAATCTAACAGTTATAATTTATTAGAAATTAATAATTAATTAATAAGTGTGATCTAATAAATTATAATCGTTATATATATATATATATATATATATATATATATATATATGAGATAGGATCCTTTGACACCGGTGTCAAATTTTAAATTTGACGCCTCATCTGAGAGTCGTTAGATCAACGACTCTGATTTGCAAGCATGTGACACCATTAATCTTTTTTAATCTAACGACTATCAGATGAGGTGTCAAATTTTAAAATTTGACACTGATGTCAAAGTATCCTACCTATATATATAATATATATGTGTGTGTAGTAAATTCAAATATTTCCATTGTTAATAAAATCGAACCGATCCGGCCGGGTCGACCCAGGAACTGATAAGCCGATCATATAATCGATCCGGTTGAAGCAACGGATCGGCCATGCATCAAAACAGGTGCGACCCGGTCCGACCCTGCTGATTTTCATGAAAATCGATGACCCGGTCGGTTAACCGGTGACCCGGCACAGTCCCAAAAAAAAATCCAAAATTATTTTTTTTTTCAAAAAAAAAATCATAATGGACATATTTGAATATATTTTTGTTTATTGACTTACATAAGTTATGTACCTATAACACTAATATTATCTCAATTATGCACTATGTAGAAAATTTTGATTTAATTTATAATTAGAGATGTTATTTTCTAAACCTAAAGCCTCGTATCACGATCATTATATTTTTGTTTGATCCTTTATTGGATAATAATATGTGATTTATTATTTTTTATATTGAAATATTTGAAATTTTTATCCTTTTTTTTAGATATTTGAGTATGTTCATAATTTTTTAATATAAATTATAAAATTACATATAATTACCGGGTCATGCAGTTAAACCATTGACCCAGTACCTCGACCGGGTCAATGACCGGGCCGGTTTTAATAACATTGAATATTTCACATCCAAATTATATTGTTTAATTTTTTGGTTGTAGTAAAATAGATTAGGAAAAGTTCACCAATGCCCCTGTGGTTTATTTCAGAATCACCTACGCCCCTGTGGTTTTTTTTTTCACCTATGCCCCTGTGGTTTTTTTTATCACCTATACCCCTGTCGTTTGAAAAAGGGAAAACCACCATATCTTTTTGCTTAACACCGTTAAAAGTTTATTTTTTCATTCCATTTATGCCCATCTGCATGCAAAAAAAAAAAAAAAACCCCTGCACTACCTTTGCCTATTTCGTTCTGTGCCTTTTCATCTAGGATTTCCTCAAATCAAATATTCAATTGGGTTAAAGGTTGAAATTATGGTAAAAATCTTACTTTTTCTTGTTGAGTATAAGAGGGTTTTCCATATTTTTTCTCCTTTTGTTCCGTTTGATTTTAAGGAGTGTTGCATTCTATTTTGGGTTTTCTTCAAACATTTTTTTGTTCAATTTCTATTATTTTTTTTGCTTCAGTTTAAGGTTTGTTGATGTTATCTTTTGTTCTATTTCGAAGCTTTGACAAGGTTTAGGATTTCGTTGGATTTTGTCACTTTGTTTTTACGTTTGTGACATGCAAATACAGAGATCAGCTAACAACAGAGCTCTGGATGCAGAAGAATATGACCATCTTGAACGAAAAAGGCGTGCTCTTGCTGGGTAAATATTGTCATTCATTCAATTTCTTTGGGTTTTTGCCTTTTTGTTCGTTCTTTCTTGTTGCTGATGTTTATTCTTAGTTTTTTTTTTTTGGAGACAATGTTTATTCTTAGTTACAATAATGGAAAAGACCCAAGAAAGAAAGTTGTATAAATTCTCTGATGATCTGACATTGTTATATCAGAAAAATTAAGCTCAAGAAGAAATATATATGATCGCTGAAATTTTAGAAAGTTGCAGCTCTTGATATTAGTACTTCTCTTTGATCTTTTTTTCTCTATTTTCTCTGCTATGTGTATCAATATATAGATTGGTCAATGGGGTGTAGAAACGTAGGAACATGAACATCTATAGGAGCAGGTCATGGCATTATAAGAAGGCATGAAGCTTCCAATGTTTGACTTGAATGGTTAAAAGTATTACCATCGAGTTTCATATTTTAATTTGTTTGATAGATTAATCAATCACATGTGCCAAATATTCAACACTGCATCATTATAAAACTAATGCAATATATAAAGCCGTCCACCTAACTTTCTTTGCTTTTAAGTATTATTAGGAACCATAATTATAGTATACAAATGTTTATACTGTTTTAATTAATCTTACATATTATTGGTCTTTTGGATTGTAGTGACAGGAAAGAAATAGGGGATGAAGAAGAAGGTCTTTTATCGCCTCCTTTGGATGAAGCATTTGACTTTACAACTCAAAGTGGTCCAGTGGAACTGTCACAGGTGCTCAACTGCCCATTTTCCCTTTTTCCCTATTGAATTCTCAGTGTTTGATATTTAGAATCTAACTTCCATATGTGGTTGATACTAAGTTCTTTGAAGCCATGGATGATGATGGAAGTGACTTTGAAAATGATATATTGGATGATGAGGCAACTGATGCAGTTTGCAATGCACTAACAATAGAGTCATTAGATGAGGAAGATATGGAGGAATTTATGGAGCCTGTTGCATGTGATAAACTAGAGTCAATAGGCCCAAGTGACAATGAAGATCATGAATGTTATGATAATTATGCTGATTCCACATCAGAAAATGCATTGGAGGGTAACATTGAATTATCAGTTGGCATGAAATTTGCTAATGTTGATGAATTTAGAGAAGCTTTGAAAGAATGGTCAATATCTCGTGGGGTTGAATACAAATGCAAAAAATCTGATAGTACAAGGGTAAGAGCTATTTGTAAGGTATCTAAAGATTGTAAGTTCCTAATGGATGCATCATCGGTGGGAGGAGAAAATACATTTCAAATTAAATCATGGAACCCTGACCACACATGTCCTAGAGAAGCAAAAAATAGCCTCATTACTTCTGATTACTTAGGGAAAAAATTGTTAGAGGATTTTAGAGCAAATCCAAAGGAGTCAATATTAGGAATGAGGAATCGAGTAAATAGGATTATGGGTTATGACATTGGGTTGCAAAGGTTGTATAGAGCAAGAAGGAAGGCAATGAAGATTATTTATGGAGATCATGCTCATCAATTTGAAGTGTCACGGGCATATGGTGAGGCTATTATAAAGACCAATCTTGGAAGTTTAGTTAGGTTAAGTACAAAGCCACAACCTCGTGTGATGGTTGATAGGATATTTAAAGAATTTCCTCCCAGATTTCAAAGAATGTATGTTAGTTTCCATGCAATGATTGCTTGATTCATTGCTAGTTGCAGACCAATAATTGGTCTTGATGGCTGTTTTCTAAAAATGCATTTTGGAGGTCATCTATTAAGTGCTATAGCACGAGATGGAAACGACAACATTTAATGCTTACATCTTGCAAGCTAGATAAATGCTGATAATTTCAATGCTTGAATGGATTCGGAAGAAGCTAATGTCACGGTTGCATGCGAAAAAAACTGGTATGGACCAATATTGTGGACCAATAACACCCAATATCCAAAAAAGACTTGAAAGTCTTAAAAATATATCAAGAGAATGTATTTTTGTACCTGCCTCTGACAGTAAGGCTGAAGTAATGTGGCATGAAAAGTCATTTTCTACTGACATTAGGGAGAAATGTTGCAGTTGTAAAGTTTGGGGATTAACTGGAATACCTTGTGTCCATGGGATTGCAACAATTAGATATTGGAGGATGACACCAAAAGATTTTGTTGATAAATGTTTCTCGAAGGAAGCCTACTTAAAGGTGTATTCATCATCTATCAACCTCATTCCTGATCTACATGTGATCTACATGACTATTTAGCTACTAGCAGTTCAACCATTGCTGCTCCTATCATAAAAAAACCACCTGGTAGGCCTAAGAAGATGAGGCAGAAGCAGCCTGGTGAGGCTTCAAACCCTTATAAGAAGGTAACAAGGATAAACAAACCTGTAAAGTGTGGAAACTGTGGTGTTGAGAGGCATAATGTTCGAAATTGCAAGGCATCTGTTATTGGAAAAACACCATCTCAAAGGAAGGCAAGACTTAAAGGAGAACAAGCACAACATATAGCCAAACCTCCTTCAAGGAGACAGAAGGTAGTGCTCTTATTTGTATGCTATTTTACTTCACATTGTTATTTATATGTTCTTAATTTTATGGTATTTTGCATTGATAGATGGCTACTAGAGGAGGAAAACATAGTGGTACTTCTTCAACACGTAATGTCCACAAGCAATGATAGATTGACAAATTGAGCAACAAGAAGAAAACAAATTTTGATATGATAAAGTACAATGCACTCATGTACATTTTGTGGATTGCAACTACAAATAGAGTTGCTTTTGGATTTGATATAATGTTAATATAACAGATAGAGCATGTTATGATGTACACTTGCTTATTTTGAGTTAATATAAATTGATTTGCCAAATTGAGCAGGTTATGTTTGTCCATTTGTGAGAATTCTTGCTTTATTTTGGTTCTGTTTGAAATATAACTTTACGTTTTGCTTGCTCAAGACTTTGGAAGTTGCTATTATATGTCAAATTTTCTGTCATATTTCTATGTATTTATTGCATCAACTATAGACCAGGTGTACGAAATGTTATACAAATTATGATTTAAATGGGCAACTTCT